CATAATCGAGAAAAATCATTAAAAATAACTCGACGAAATTTTTTGATTCATTAATAGGCCCGCACGCTAAATTCATTTATTTTATTTCATTGATAACCCGAAAAAAAAATAATTATAATAAAACAACGAAATTACAATGATTTTTACTGTTGAATTTCGAGTACATTAAAATTTATTGTTAATTTATTGTACAGGAGAAAACATAAATTTCGATTTTTAACGATACAATGCTCAAACAATGAAAATTAGTGTGATGAGATCAAATTTGTTCGAGAAAAATCACTTTTTTTTTATTGTGAAGATGCTTAACAACCCCCCTTTTTTACTGTAAATTTCTCAAATACCATGATTTTCATTGTTGTGATCAATGAATTTCGCTGTGATTTTATGGTAATGGACAAAAATGTCCAATGTTTTGACAATAAATATCATGGTTACAATGACAATGAAAATCATTGTATTTTTATTGGACTTTTTTTTTTACGGGAAGCCTACGGTAATAGAATTCCACACATTTTTATTAACGAATTTCCATGTAAAATTTCACATGATTTACATGTGACCACACATAAACAGAATCCACCCAGAAGTACACATGAAATTTATGAGTCAAATGAATAGTATGTGTGGTTACACATGGCTTTTAGTATGTGTCCGACACATAGATATCATTTGTTGATCACATTGCAAAAACTCATGTGTGGGACACATAAAAACAATCTTTGAAATTTGGTCAGTGTAGTGACGTAGAAAAAAATTTCAAACCAACACGGCGAATTTTTTTTTTTTATTCTTTATTAAAGAGACAACACGGCGAATGAGATCGACCAAAATTTGAGTTTAGTCAACTCATAAATCACATAAAGTGCAGGAGCTCAGCGATGAGTAAATTTGCCTCATATTTTCCCAGGTTTTTCCAGGGAAAAATTCCCCAATTTGAGAAAAGTAAAGATTGGATTCAGTCAGTATTGGTACTACTCCGAGACTTAATAAAATTTTCGTCAATTTCCTCATTTTCCGGCAGATTTTTTAGGTTTTCCACGGGAAACCATGAGACAAATTTACTCATCGTTGAGTTCCTGCACTTTTGGCGATTATGAGTGAACTAAACTCAAATTTGGGTCGTTCTCATTTTCCGTGAAAGCTAGGCCCTACACGGAGATGAAAAACTACCCAAAATTAAGTACTTTTCCCTCAATTCCGGTGTAACCCAAATTTGAGTTAATCGCATATAGTAGTTTCCATTTAACACCAGCAAAAAAATACCTACTCTTAAGTATATTCTACCCAAAATTAAGTTTAATTCACGTTAATTTGAGAATATGCAATTTACTCAAAAGTAACTTATTGGGCTGAACTATATGGTAGAGGTAACTCTAAGACCAGAAGGACCCGAAGAAACGAGCTCAACTTTTTGGCTCAGCTCTGGTACTCTCTTCGGTCCCAAGCAAATCGATTCACCCCTCGAAACATAGGAAAATCCAATAACCCCTCATTTTATCTGTCAAACTTTCATAGTAAATCAAAACAAACATTGTGTGGTACTAGAATTGGGTTCTTTAAGTTTAAGGGTATTGAGGTAAATGCATATTCGTAATCTTCATTAAAAATAGAACCCAAACCCAAAATATCATCAATTTTGGCACACTGGAACTATTTTAAATAAGTACGATTACATTTGCAAAAATCACCTTATTAGCGCCCCTCGGTGTCATTTTGTATGGGAGCGAGCTGTCAGTTTGTCAGTTTAGTGTCAAACAGTGAAGTTATTATTTTGCTTTAAATCTTGATTTAAAAATCGAGATGAAAGTGTGTGGGTTCGAAAAAAATATCGCTGTGCTCAGAAAACGAAGCTCTTTCAGATGATATATAAAAACCGATATATTTTTCAAAATTAAAGAACCCAATTTCGACTAGAATGGGATACGTTAATCGATTTGCTTGGGACCAATACTGCCGGTAATCGCAAGTCAGTCCCATCTGCATTTTTATCAATTTTGAGTTAGCATCATTATTCAGTTTATCATTCTATGTTTTTTGAGATGTGCTATTGAAAAAATGTGGTTTGTTCAAGAAAACTGAAAAACAATACCAAGTCAAATTGTCCCACAGCGAAAAGTAACCGCAAGTCAGTCCCATTAGAAAAAAATTTATCAGAAATGTTAGACAACACATCGCATCATGAGATTTGTCTCAATATAGCTTTTGTCCACTTCCCCTAGGGTATCTGGAACATGTCCGGATGTGGCCAATATAGTTCTTACAATACTCAATTTGACCGCCAATGGATATGGCTTTGAATTATCATGTGATTTGATGTATCGTTTGATGGATTTTAATTTAAAAGGATTTACCACTTCCCCGGGTATACCCGGAACATGTCCGGGTGTGGCCAACATGGTGCTGGTCACTCATCATGACTCTTATTGATCTTATTTTTGAATTCTCATGTGAATTGATTTATCGCATGGTGGGTTTGGCACGTTTGGCTCTGGTCTGATGAAGACCCATACTCACCGGAATATGTTCCGGCCATTGCTCTGGAACCAGCGGAACAAATCCAAAAACATTCAATAACGTTCTATGGGACCATAGTATCTTTCTACTGTTCAATACTGTGCTTAAACTAATGCAGCATCGGCATGGAATTGTGACTGACTTGCGGTTATTTTCCTCATTGACGTTAAATGTAATCGCAAGTCAGTCCCACTCAGATTTTGGCCATAAAATAAAAATTTCACGATATTTTTCCAATATTTTTGGGTAAACATAGATGCATTCTATCACATTGTACGTTTATTTTTAAATTTATCCCTCCAAAATAGGTGTCAAATCAGAAAACTTGAAAAATCTTTGAACGCCGTTTTCTCATTTCCAGTTTTTTACAGATGGGACTGACTTGCGATTATGGGCAGAATAGGCTAGTCAAGTAGTGAGCCAATTTAAAATCGTTAGTTTCGTATTGATTGTTGACTATATCGTTGGGTCGAATCTCTTGTTTTTTTTTTTTTTTTTTTTTTTTGACAACAGTAACGAATGCAAGTGAGAGGCTGAAGTCAATATTGAGTAAAAAGAACTCAAATTTTGGGTAGTATTTTCTTCTCCGTGTACGGCTTGAGGCAGGGCCGATGATTTGTTTTGAATTTATTTGACGTTGCGAAAAGGCTTAGCAAATGGCGTACCATTTCTGATGACAAGCACAACGGCTTAAAAAAAGAGCCTGTCCATTGAAAGATTCACAAAAAGGCTTATTAATTTATGAAATTAAATTGTTATCGATTTTCATAAATGTTTGAAAGCTTTTCACATATTTTGGATGTTGTATACTGAGATACAGTAACTATTGTTATTGTGAACAATATAAATGTCTAAAATACTTCAGTTTTCTGAAATATGAATTAAATAGTGGCGGAAAAATTTAAAATTCATTTTCTGGTTTGTTTACGTTTTGGACATAGGCCTATTTCAAATGTTGCTCTAGACAACATTAAAGCAATTCAAGACGTTTCCTTCTACTCGAACTTTGTCGGAGAACAATATCTTAATATTGCTATTTTTTCTAGACCGTCGAAAAAATAGGGTCATATTCATGCTAAGCTTGATTGCTGGTAGAAGGTTGTCCCAAAACAGCTCAACAATATGATCAATTCACTTGGAACTCTCTTCTACATTCTCTTGGAATTATCCTCAGAATTATTTTCCTTTAGTTTCTCCTAAAATTAAATTGAAATTTTCTTAAAAATTTGCCTTGAATTTTAATCATTTTTATTTAATACCTTTATTATTGAGATTTTTAGCACTTAGCTAGTTCATCTCAGCTCAATTGAGTTTTCATCAGAATTTTCTTTAAATTCTAGTCACAACTATACTATATTCTTCTCCAAATTTATGCGGAAGACTCTTAAATATTCTTCAAGCTGTCAAAATCAAGAAAATTTGTTCAAGTCCAGCCCCGAGAATTTCAACCAGAATCTTAATTTTATAAATCTAGGATCTTGACATTTTTCACAATCTGACAACTTAAATATTTCTCTCAGTTGCAGAATCAATGAATAAAATTACTGAAAAGTTGAAAATTTGCTTATTTTTGTTTCATCTTCGGTGGTTTTTTAATATCGAATTCGTTTATTATCAGTGTCTTTTGTCAGTGCGAACCTCTCAGGGTAGCCAGCGAATTTTCATTTTTCAAATTCCTGGTGTTTTCCCGGTTTTCTCGGTTCAAATCTTAAAAAACCCGGTTGTTGATATTCAATTAAAAACGAAATTGTACGCATTTTTAAAAACGTGTCCAACTGTAAATTTTCGGAGGTTATTTGTGGGAAAAGTAAAAGCAAAATTACAGAAAGTATTTTTTAAAGCTGAAAGTATAATTTCAACTCTATGAGTCACTTAATGTATTCAAAACAAATCATTGATTATGCTCGATACATCTAATGGTTTCAAAGTCCTAGCATTTATTGAGAAACAGAGATTAAGGTCACTAGGCCAAATGCTATTTGGATAAATAGGTTGGGGGGCCTCCCTTAGCTCAGTCGGTAAAGATGCCGCTACAAAGCAAGACCATGCTGGAGGTGGCTGGGTTCGATTCCCGGTCCGATCTAGACATTTTTCGGGTTGGAAAAATTCTCGACTTCCCCCCTGGGCATAGGGTGTGATTATACTTGCCATACAATTACACTAATGCAAAAAAAAACTCTCAATTAATAACTGTGGAAGTGCATCTAGAACACTAAGTTGAGAGCCCGCAGTAAGGTAATGTGCGATAAGCAATAATATTGGAATGCGATGAAGAAGAAGAAGAATGAATAGGTTGTAAGACAGAATTGTGAAAAATAAGAGATTTTCAGAAACAATGAACTTGACACAAATGAGAATCTGATAAAGAAAATGTGTCTTCACTCCGTTGTCTATACTAACATTATTATTATTTAGCTTTATTTAGGAGGCTTTCAGCCTTAGGCTGGTTCGCCTCCAATCTATACTAACATAAATATTAACCATTCAGTACTCGCGCTGATGTAGAAAGTTAAACACAAACAAATTAAGAGTTATAACACATTACAGAACAATCGATCGAATCTTGCGGACAAACCCTGGAATATTCAGTGAAATTTAAAAATTTTCAACGTGTTGATTACAAACAAATATTGAGGATGATTCCCACATAATTTTCGAAGGAGCGCAGAATTCCAAAATTATATTCAATTTCTGAATAAGAAATTGTAAGATAAATTTGGAGAATAATACAAGTTCTAAATTAAATTCTTAGGTAATTTATGAAGATTTAAAAAGGAGTTGTGAAAATTCTTACGTGATTCTGAGGAGATTTGTATGAGGATCGTGAGGAAAATGACAGATGAATTTTAAGAAGAATTCCAAGACAATTATGATGAAAATTCAGCAAGACACATAATTCTAAGAGTGTTCTGGCGCTAATTTCAACCCTAGTGCGAAAGATTTATCACAGAGCTCCAACAAAATGTATTGCACAAAATTTGCTAATAACACTAGTTTACAGCATATTTGAACTTTGTACGCTGATGGTCATTTCTCATGTAAAATCGTGTGCTGATTCCAAAAATGTTGTCAGAAAAAATCTCAGTACGATAGTTTTCTAGATACAGATAAAAATGAAATTTCGCCTAATAAAAGTTTGTTTACTAAAATATAAATATCTCCAGCTGCAATGAAGCTATATTAACTATTTTAATGTCAAATTAAAAGTGTGAAGCAGTGTTGGGAAAATATCAAAAAATCAAATCTCACCAACGCCCAAGATCACGCTTGATTTTTGTAGACAAAAATCAACAAGCAAACAACTGCGGTTGATTTTGCAAACTGTGATATCGCAGCTCGGAATATCAAACTAACAAAACTCACCAGCTGCAAATCTCAACAAACTGTGGTGAGATTGAGTTTCATGATTTTTGCTTCACACCCGAATGCAACCGAAACTTCCATAACGGCTGGCAGCAGTCACTTCGTGTCTGCCATCGGTGAAGAGTAAAAAGAGATAGCAAACTATACTTTCTCTTTCTAAGAAAACATGTGCAACAGAATCATTTTTGTGTCGAGTCAACTCTCAGCTTGATTTTTGCACGTTGTGAATAGTCTCGCAATATCAAAGGAGCTTGTAAAATCAATATCAAGCATAATACTTTGTTCCAATATCATGCGTGATATTGGGAACGCATGAGAGCGGAAAAATATCATTTGATTTCTGATTTTGCCAACACTGAGTGTGAGATTAGTGGTATTGGTAAAACCACTACAAACATTTGTATTTCCCTTGCTTAAAAACTATGCTGTAAAGAGCCTGAATTTATAAAGAGACGACATCTTATCCATTTGACAGGTCTTCTGCTCGATTGGAATGACTTTTCCTATAACTTTGACAGACAATCGATTGTTCCAATTTTGACATGTCGCCTCTTTATAAATTTAGGCGCTTTACTATGCTGAAACCCAATTTTCTTAGAAATATGCAAAATAAACAATGTCATTAATCTCTCTGATAAATAATGATCAGCTGATCGAAAAAAAATCTCACCTTTAATTTGGCGTTCAAATAATTGATATAGCTTCAATGAAAGTCATAACGTCGATTGAGTTTCTCCATTTAATCATCAAAACAGTTGTTAATTTAGCGTGTGTCCGAAGTAGCTTATCTGTTTACGTTCAACAACTTAGCAAGAAGTAAGGGGCTGTTCATTAACTACGTAGACAGTTTTTGTTGGGATTATTGCCCTCTAAACTGTCTACGTAGTTGATGAACGGCCCCTCAGCAAAGCTTCTGTATCTGTCGATGGGTTCTGGCAAAGTTACCAGTCTTCTTGATATGATGTCGGTACTTCTGATTACACACCATAAAATAATCCCTATCGAATATACCACACATGATTTTAATACCAACTCTATTGATTTAATACGAACATGTTGAAGTTAGCCTACACCTGGAAAGTGGCCAAAGAAGCCCGCTATAATGGTATAAAACACATGTTCAGGTTGCAAATAAAATTCCCGGGTTTGGGTTTACCCGCTTGTTTTCAATTCCCGTTTCATTCAGTGACTACTCTGGAATTTACAAATCTAGAATTTTTCCTGAGAATTCTGTTGGGAGGCACCTCAGAATCGTATTGAAAACTCAACTCAGAAATCCCTTCGACTTTTCCTCGACATTCCTTCAGTATTCTCCCAAACATTATCTGGGATTCCATAAATTCTTTGAAATTGTCCTCAGAGTTTCCTTAGAACTCCTGTCAAAAATCCTCGAAATTCCCTTAAAACTCTCTTAATAAATCACTTTGAATTATTGTCAGTATTTTGGTAGGTAGTATCATTAAATTTCCGTGAATTCTTCCTCAGAGCTCCCAGGAATTATTCTCACAATCCCCTTCGAATTCTATACAGATATGAACTACCTTGGCATTGATCTACCTTCTTCTATATTCGGTAAAATGCGATGTTTTTCTACAGTCGAGTATTAGTACAAGACACCGAAGAAGTCTGCACATTGTAGACGAAATACGCGTATCTGTCAAGGATAAGCAAATAAGGTAGTGGAATTAAATAGAAATTACTAATCCTTCTCTCTCTTTCTACAGGTATTCCACTAGGACGCCCACATTCATCAGGATTCTTCTACCTGGTTTGTCGTTACAATTGAAAAAAATACAGACTATTTAACATTCTCTTTTGAGTCAGCACCAATTTTGTTCATGGTTTACGGGATAAGCTGGTTGTGAAATTTCCAATACTAAACCAGTAACGATGTTATCAAAATTTAATCATGTACCTATCATTATACCCAAGGAAACTGGAAGATAAGTTTCAAATTCAGAAAGTTTCATCAAATTCGTCATGCTGTGATTCGTGTTGATTTAGGATGGAAACCGTTCGCGATATCGTTCTTGGTCCAAGTTCACAATAGTGTCTCGCTCAGAAAGGACACCAAGAAACGTTTTCCTTCTTTAATTTATTTGTTTCTTCTTCTGCATTTAAAGAGGAACTATCATCTATGGTTCAAGGTCTAGGAAATGAGTGAAATAAATAACCTGTATGTATTGTGAAGTCATGAAGCGGGATGAGTGATGCCTGTATGTACAATAATTATAAAAACAATCTGCCTTCTCTAGCGACCGGTCCGACTGGCTTTATACTCTTGTCTCACGGGACTCGATTGCACCTCGAGGATATTGTTTATCTTTTCGACAATTTCCTGTGCCGTTGCCGGATCGGTTTCAATGTCGTAATGTTTGAAAAGAGGAGCTCGCTGTAGCTGCTGTTGGTGGTGTTGCCGGATGGTGGGACTCGACGTCGCGAATTCGGATCCGGAAACCGACAGAGTTTGAGAAAAAGGAACTGCACTGTACACTATTCGAACGACCGATTTGGAAGATTTCCGCTCGACGATGGAACAGTGAGCAACGGAATCCATGCTATGATTGGTAGATTTTTGGCGAGGCCACAGCTTAGAAGATTTCTGCTGAATTGGATCGATTTCCAATTTGTCACCTGATATTCCCAGCTGAACTTCAATCTTCAGACGCGATTTATGAACCATGTGAACTTGAAACGCTCGATACAAAGGTGCTTCCAGTTTCGAGGTATGGTCTTTCATTTTAAACAAATCTTCCTTCTGTTTGTCTTCGCTTACATCTTTAAATTCGTTGGAAGGTGGCCCACCGAAAGATGGCACCGGTTGGATATCTCCCAGACCCGGAATTATTGAACTAAATCTTGGTTGTGACTGAATTTCCGAAGCCTTCCGCTCAGCAATGGCCAAATGCGAAAAGCAAAACTTTACGCATGGTTCGCCCATGTCCAACGGTGGAAAGTCCATATCGATTTCACCATCCACTTCCGTCATAAACAGTCCATAGTGTTTTATCGACCTTAAACTTACATTTGGATATGCTAGACTACACTTATAGCAAATCAATCCTATAAAATCCTGAATTTTGGCAGTGGCTGTGACGCAAATTTGCATCGGATAGGCTCTCTGATTCTCCGGCAACATCATTAGGAATATTTTATACGTTTTCGACTCGGTCTGCGAAGTTCCATCAAATTTGGCATACTCAAGGAACTTATTCTGGGGCATTTTCGGGTAGCTTTCCAACTGTTGCGATAGCACTGATATTCTTTCCTCAGTCGAAGTTCTACTTACGTCTTTCTTCACAAATAGATCCCCATCCGTTTCGTCCGAACGCTGCACTGCGGTCTCGTACTTAATAGTTTTAACCTTCGCTGCTTTCCTTCTGGCTATATCCATCCGTTCCAGCTTCTGTGCCGTATTCGATCGTTGCCGGTGAAACCCAATATCCTGATCCATCTGGATTTCGTACGATTGCGATAGGGAGTCCATTTCTTCGTCATCAGAATCATCCAATCCTGGGTAGCAATAGAAATCTTCAAAGTTCCTTTGTCTCATCCTGGGGCCATCCTGCACTCCGCCAGCAGAGCGTTCCCTCAATGCCTGCTTATGCAACTGGGCATATTGATGTGGTATATCTTCCAGGAGCATAACCGTTTCGCTCAGTCCCGTATCATCGGTCGAAATGAACGAATTCCGGATGTGAGATAATAGCCAATGAGGATTATTGTAGGTTGCCATTCTAGCCTAAAACAAACAAAAAATCAGCTATTTCAATTCGAATCACCCACAATGCGACACATTTCTATTTCGGAAGAAATAAGGTCACGAAAAATACTCTCTCATGCGCCCTAATAAACACGTCTCTCACACACTATATTGTACACACATTGCCAGATTATCGTACGCATCCGAATCAAAACATCGATTTGTTTACGATAGAGTGACGAAAACTTACCCGCAGGAAAGGAATGCGGAAGATCCACTCTTCTTCCCTGTGACGCGAGCAACCAACCAAACCCAGTGATCTCCCCGTCTTCCCCGTTGCGGTAGATCACTTTATTATTTATTGGACGAACTGCACCACACGGTGCGACCGTCTTCCGTTTCTCTGCTGCTGTTGCTTCCCGTCTGCCCGACCCCGACGATTACCTAAGCAGCATAAAGCGCTTCATCCTGAGCATGGTTTCCTTCTTTGGGGCGGCGACAGCAAAAATGCTGAGGTTCTAACTGCACTTGGATGGCTACGATTCTCTGCACACCGACTAGCTACCGGACACTTCAATAGTGCGGATTGCGTTAATAGTGATTTTTCGGTGAAATTATTGTTTATAATTAGATAAAATTAAAAAATACCGACGCGAGTGAATCGAGAAACGCGACTTTTTCAGTATGAACACTCTTTTAGTGACTTTGACGTTTGTTGATGGCATTTTTTGTTTTCTTTAGTTCAACAACCCAATGCGGAATCGGTGATTACACCAACTGATGCAAAAGGTTAACAAGGAGTGGAAACAAAATCCACATGGCTATTTTTCACACAGATGGCGCTGTTCCCTACCAGTGGTAGTAATAAAAAATGATAAAAATCCTCATATAGGAACTTGTAAAAGTGAAAAAATACGCTTTTGATGCATATTCAGATCAACAGAAGTTGACGACCACCTAAATAAATCATTCATGGTCTTTGTCGTTTACTTTTTTCCTGAACCTTATTGGTAAACAAGGTACAATTATAAATAAAAAAAAAGGTTTTTTTCCCATAGGGATGATGCACCATGTCAAGCTCTAATGGGGAAAGGGATGGTTTATGATTTTGTGACAAGCAATGCATAAGGTATCGGAAAAACGTCACGAACGGGGGAGAGGATGTTAATTTTTCCTCAATTTAGCGTGACATAATAAATGGATTGCCTCAAGGGGTAGATCACTCCGCACACCCATCTTGGGTCATCTTTTTTGTCAGTGTGCCGCAAGTTTGCCGATTGTGCCGGTCATAGAGCAAGCTGCGATTGTTTTTAAAATACCCATCCCAGCAACCCGGTATTTCCGACATTTTGAATGTTTTTGTTTTGAAATCGCAAGGATAAATCGGATTGAGGATGACGCGGAAAGTGGCGGGTGTGCGATTTTTTGTTTGTTTTGTGTTCATACACAGCAAAAAAACTTGTTGAATATTACATCTGAACTGCTGCAACCAGGTCAATCCATCGGTTGTGTTCACGTTGTACGATATACATCGATTTTGCGAACAAAATTACATCCATTGATGTAATATTGTATCTGCTTTTTGCTATTACATCATTATTTCATACATCAGCTTTACGTTGATCGATATTACATTTTTTTTTTGCTGTGTATGATAATAAAAGTCCTGTGTTTTAGGACAAACCAGAAACTTAGCCTTTCGTGATGTGAAAAGCAATGGTCTATTAGCGGCCGGAAAGAATTTGAACCGGTGGGGAACATAGTTGGAGACCGACTATAGAGGATGATGAGTAGACTTCTGTAGTTTGTTTTGTGTGAGTTGCAGCATTATTTGAATTAAGGGTACTAATGGAGTCTGATTAACTGCCTTTTTCTGTTGAGCCCACTATAGAACCTACATTTCGTATTTAGATCTATAAGTGAACTGCTGCGCTGGTCAGAATTCCTTTGGTATATTCAATTGATCATTTTGTTAAGCTTTTGCATTCATGTTCCATCAGATGTCACAGCTGTTGTTTGCGGTGACATCTATCGAAAAACTACTCACAATCTGTTTCCCTTTAATTGTTCACAGAGGACACTGCAGTGCAAAACATGTCTGGTACCTCTATATATGCATTTAGATTATTATTCGAAGTCCCTCCTTTTTTACACATTCTGCACACAAAATAGCTCCCCCCTCACAGAATTTCCCACCGAATTTTATGTATGAGGCGGGGCATAAAGTCGAGCATAAAGCCTCGCACATTTCACTAATACCAATAAACCAGTTGGGCCAGACTTTATATGATTGTTATGCTATATGTTATGTTATATGAATGTTAAATCGTTAGTACGCCCCTGGCGCAGATGCGCACCTTCCCATCCAAGACACCTTGCCTACACAAACATCAACGCACCCAGGTATAGTACGCACCTTCTCTCCAGAGACGTTGGGCAAACGTCACGGATAAACAATTGATAGTAGGCAAACGCCAAAAAACATAAAACAACAATTTAACGTGCGGCATCAATGAGTTTGCGGTCTAAATTTAGTTAGTTTTTTCCATTGAAAGTTCAAGTCATTAAATTAAATTACTAGTGTAAAATCAGCTAGGTATAATTCTATTTCTAAAATTCGTTAAAATTATTATTTACAATTAATACCTTTTCCATAGTGTTTGATAAAAACTAGTGAACTTATCATAACCTAAAATCTACTTACATCCTAAACCTACAGTGAAGGTAAAATTTATAATCTAAAATACTAAGTAAATACTTAAATCTAGATTGCTTTAGTACGGTTTATAGGATTCAGTACGGATAAATTGTTTGCTAGATTGCCTGTTACGACGGCCACCGACAAAACGAGACGATCTCGTGCGACCCGTAATTTCGATCGCTTGCAAGTGTAGCACAACGGGACTAAACGTAAGTTACAAAAGAAAATTACTAATGGACTAATATTAAGATGCAAACATGTTCACTAACGTTACATCCTTCCTGAACCTTTTTCCAGGAATATAATAATATAATTAATGAACGTAAATCCCACGTCTTCGGTAGTTCTAATATTATTGTATTGAAAATCTCCCTGCGTAAGTTGGCAAATTCCCAACATCTTATTATATTCGTTTATTGGCGAATAAACACGGTCAAATACGGTCATGTCGAGTCGCGGTCGGTCAAATAAAGGCAGTAACGAAGGTAATGAACGTGGTACAATTAGTGGTGTGCAAGTGGTGGTCACCAACGAAACGGTCGAACCGGAGGCATCATTTCCAGGCCAGTCATGCAGAGTTTGCCGTGGAAAGGACACCGATGAAATGGTGAGGTGTGATCAGTGTCTGAAATGGTTTCATTTTAACTGCGTAGGAGTTAGCCAAGACATTGAGAACAAGCCATGGAAGTGTCTAAACTGTGTTAAGTTGCAACTAGTACCAGATACCCTTTCATCTGCAAGCAACACACTTTCTGTGCTGGGTGGTGCAAGAAAGAAGAAACCAGTGGAAACAGATGGCGATCCTGTTGCAGATCCTCTTCAGCACAACGACTCCAAGAAGAAACATCAGTCTAAGGAGGGCAACGTGAAAGCGAAGTCAATGGTATCTCATGCGTCAAGCCGAGCGTCTAGCAGAGCATCACAAACTCTCGCCAAGCTAAAGCTACAGAAGCTGGAGGAGGAAAGGACCCTGAACGAGAAAAAGTTGGAGCAGGAACAAATCTATCTGGAGGAAAAGTACAAACTACTGGAGGAGATGGCTAGCGAAGCTGGTTCGAACGCGAGTAGCGTGTCGGACGTCGTAAGAAACTGGCTCCCACAAGCGCAATCAAGTCATCGCTCACAATCGGAAAATCAACCGTTGGCAGTTCACCCCCTCGATGATTCCCCTAGAACCAATAATGGCAACCATCAACCCAGACCATTCGCCGATGGACAACCGGAACGTGAAGAAGATCGCTTCTCGCTAACAAGGAAACAATTAGCGGCGCGACAGGCTATTTCCAAGGATCTGCCCCAGTTTTCCGGCAACCCTGAGGATTGGCCTCTATTCATCGCGACGTTCAACAACACAACGGCCATGTGTGGCTTCACTAACGACGAGAACATCTTTCGACTGCAGAAAAGCCTGAGAGGACGAGCCTTTGAAGTGGTGAAGAGCCGGTTGGTACACCCTGCCAATGTTCCTGGTGTGTTGAAGACGCTGAAAATGATGTTCGGTCAGCCAGAAGCCATCGTTCAAACGCTCATCGAGAAAATTCACTCCCTGCCGGCCATAAGAGAGGATAGGCTAGAAACTCTAGTGGATTTCGCTGTAAATGTGGAGAACTTCTGCGCGACCGTAGACGCCTGTGGCTTGGAAGAATACCTGTATAACACGACCCTCCTACATCAGCTTGTGAGCAAGTTACCTCCAACAATCAAGCTGAACTGGGCGCAGTACAGGATTTCACTGCCGGGAGTCAACTTAGCATCTTTTAGTTCCTGGATCTATTCCCTCGCGGAGGCCGCTAGCATAGTGACTATTCCAAGCATCACGAGCTCCAAGCCAGTAAGGAATGACAGAAGTGGAACAAAGAAAGGAAGTGGCTTCGTGAATACTCACTCGGAAATCACTGCAGAACCTCCAAGTGGGAAGAATTCCAGTGCTAGTAACGAGTGCCCCGTCTGTAAAGGAGCTTGCAAAGCGATTGACAAGTGCAAGCGCTTTCTTGAATTCTCTCGCGACTCACGTTGGGCTATAGTGCGCGAATATTCACTGTGTCGCCGTTGCCTCTGCCGTCACAATGGAGTGTGTCAGGCCAAACTCTGCGGAAAAAATGGATGTCAGTTCAAGCATCATGCTCTCCTGCACAACGACCATTATCAACAATCGTCGCCAGCTACATCAGCGACGTCGCCATCTTCAACAACAGCACCCTCGACGAGTGGCAGTACGGAACATCCCAAAACAGGAACTAGTTCAACAGCGCACGGTTGCCACACGCATCAAACCAAATCAAGCGACATACTGTTCCGTTATATTCCGGTAGTTCTGTACGGAAAACGTGGATCGATCCGAACACACGCATTCCTCGACGACGGCTCCGATCTTACATTGCTGGACGAAGAGTTAGCTGACGAACTAAAGCTGGATGGAGAAGTCAGGTCGCTTTGCCTACACTGGACCGGCGGCACGCAGCGTCAAGAAGTGAAGTCAAGGGTCGTCGAACTGGAAGTAGCCGGTGTACACAGCGGAGCCAAAAGTTTCACCATCAGTGGTGCACGAACAGTAAACGAACTTCTGCTTCCGTACCAGACGATGGACATCGAGGAACTATCATCTTTGTACCCGCATCTGCAAGGGCTTCCGATCGACTCATACCACGGTGTTCGGCCACGGATCCTGATTGGACTTAAGAACCAGCATCTCAGCCTTCCTCTCAAGTGCCGCGAAGGCAATCTAAGCGATCCCATCGCCATTAAGACTCGTTTAGGCTGGACAGTGTGCGGTGGATGCACGGCAGAACCTGCAATCAGCCCGGTGCACTCCGTCTACCACATCGGTTCTTGCGAGGACCAACACAGTTCAGATGAGGATCTACACCAAGTCCTCAAAGATTACTTTGCGCTGGATAGCTTGGGGATTATGAAGCCACAACACGCACCTATCTCCGTCGAGGATCAACGAGCACATTCTCTTCTCAATTCAC